ATTATCATACTCTTATAATGATTTTATTTTACTTACATTCATTTCATATATTCAACTTTGTGGAGCCTGCAAACATACTTACTGAGACGGTAAATGCGCTCAAACATTGATATAATGATTGCTCATGCAGTAGAAAAAAAATGTATAGTGATTACAAAACTTTTGAAATATTTTGACCAAATGATATAAAGATAAATTCGTTTCATTTTTCTTTAGGTACGATGTCAAATAGCATAAAGAATTCTTCACTCGATTTGCTATCATTGAAAGACCTAAAAAAATGTTTGACCAACGACTCCTTGACTAAAAAAAATATATCATGGTTTGGTTTGGTTTGGTTTGGTTTGTAGATCGGGAAATTTATTTTAAAATATATTGAATTTTTGTTTTTAGCACTGGATTGTAGCCAACTAGTAATAGAAAAATGCCCAAATGATAAATATTATACAATTTTTTTAAAAAAGTATCAAGTTGTGAAAACTAAATATAAATAAAATAAAAATATTCAAAATACAAGAAGTATATTTTACTGCAATTTAAAAACATGTGTTATTTTACCAATTTAATTTTTTTTTACATTCTCTCGTATCAAAATCTCCTCTGGCATAATCTAACAATCAGATCAGTTTCCAGACACAATTAAAACATCTCTTATGATATGTCTTTTTCGATTAAGAGTCGTTGAGGTGCTGTAACAAAAATTTATAATAATAAATCTTTATTAAAAAAATATAGATACGCATATGTGACCATTAATTCGTCATGCTTGTGTCAAACCGACAATTTCGAGAATCTGGGACCCCCTTTCAGAAACAGATGCTTCGAATCCATTGTATGAAATTTTCCACGGTGATCATTTTTTTAAATGTAATTAAAAGTAAAATCATATTTATGTTGATATAAGGTTTTGTAATGTTTTTTTTTTTAATTTCTTTTTGTGGATAAAGTTATGTGAACGTAAGAAACTTAAGAACTATCACGTGTGTAGCATGTGCCGTATTTAACGTGAATGCTAGATTCTTTGATTCCTCACTCCGTAATTTATATGGTAAATAGACAAAAATGTATGCTATACTCTAGTACAAATCGATGTAAAATATAAACAAAATTAGAGGTTGAATATAGATAAAAATTAGAATCATTTATTCAAACTTCAAATTTTACAATTGTTTTCTTTGAATTCAATTCTATATTTTTTAATTTTTTTTTCTTGAATTTGATTCATAGATAATATATAATAATTCACCTTTGTCGATTCTTCGATATAACTAGAAGTAAATATATTCATGCATGAATCATGATGATGATAATAAATTAATAAATAAAATATTCCAAAAGCTTTATAAATTTGGCTAAGATGTCTGTTCCTTTTGTGTCGTTTCCGATAAATGGCATGCACAAGCCACCCATCTTAACATGAAATCGATATTTCTTTTATGTTCTAAGAATGTCGGTCCAAATTCAAATGCCATAGGAGTGCATTCAATTCTTTCATTATGTATTCTCTTGTAGGAGTCATCACTCGTCATGTTATATATATACTATTACTCATGTAATGTTAAATGAGTTACTTTACATGGAAATAGAAAATTACTTCCAAACGTAATAAAAAATTAAATGCCACAAAAATAACAAATACAGATATAAACTTTTTATTGCTATAAATTCACTATTTATTTTAAATTTTCATATAAATACATATTATTTTTTATAATGTCGTCGAAATTTCACTAAATTACAAATAACATTTAAATAAATTTATTTAAACTTTTAAGATTATCAATTCACCAATTACTCGTTATCATTATTTTAACAATTTTAAATATTTCGATAATTTTAAAATTTATTTTTCTATAATTTCAGTAATATTTAAATAATTAATTTATTTCTATAAATATTTAAATATTTAATGTATTTATATAAAAAATCATATATTTATTTGGTAAAAAACTTTATATTTATGAGCTTTCGTAACAGATAAAATGAGGGTTAGTGGGTCAACGCTCGAAAGATGGGGGGTGAGAAATGGGAAAAATGGGAAAATGTGGGCCCAATGAAAGGGCACATGAAGGAACAAGGTCCGGATTTTGATCCCCCGTTGGCTTCCTCTCATCATTACGTTCCCCACTCAATCCTAACCCGTTAATTTAAAAAATGTAATCATTATATATATTAATAATCCATGAATATATGAAAAAACCTAATTGTTTTTTTCCACTAATATTTTTCTTTAACCATTTCCATTTTTCTATGAATTATATTGTTTATTATTATTTGGATATTTAGAATATTTAACGATGCGGGATATTGATTGGATATAATTAATTAAGATTTGTTGAATGACGTGGATATTGATTATATTGCTAAATTTTCAAAAAGAGGAAAACAAAGAGGGCCTTCTTTTGTCGAAACAAAAGGATAGGGCAGTTTCGGGAATAATTAAAAAATTGGGGTAACGCTGGGCCGAAAAGGCGACCCGCACCAACCCGATAATCCGGGTCGTGGGAGACCATTTGTTTTGCTTTCTAATTTCCTCCAAATAAAAACACTCGTTTTTGAAAATAATAATATATTAATACATATAAAAAATTACAAAATTTTGTTTACAAATTAAAATATTAGAAATATTTTTTTGTAAAATAAAAATTTAATTATAAAAAACTGTTGAAAATTCGCGTGCTTCGTTTACATATATTTTTCGTAAGACCGCTCTAATTTAACACAACTATTAAATCTAGTTGAATTTTCGTTCAACATTTTTTTTATTCGCAAGAAAATAGGTTAAATATTGCATGGGTAGATATTTGTCTGGTCGTCATAGTTCACACGAAAATTGAATCGACAAAATATTATAGTCAATAAATATATAGCATCATTTTATGATCCACAATTTTCAGATTGCCTTTATCATGTGCATATATATACACACACACATATTGTTATTGGTATGACAGTAGAAGGAATAGAATCAACAATATTTTTAGGCATTCTAATATCTATTTTATGAATATATATATATATATATATATATATATTTAGAAAAGTGTGTATATATATTCTACACGTATGATTTAGAAATTACTTTATTGATCGGGCGAAAACGTGTTGGGTTGTGAATGGAACTGTTTGAGATAGAAATCGAATCATGGTAGTAACCATGACTCAAATGTCACATAATCAAATTGATCACCACTTCAAAGATATAAAGATTTCACTATTTTTTTTAATATTGTTAAAAGTATTCCAAAAATTTCATATAAACTACGTGTGTTATATTATAATATGAAATTTAAATTCCGTTAGGTTTAGTAAAAAAGGAACGTACAAAAAGAAAGGAATGAATAAGAATATCTCAATTTTTTTTGTAAAAAAAAAACTGAATTTTTTAATTTGAAAAAAAATTAATAAACTTTTTAGATTATCTAAACTATTCGATAAATATCAAATTAAACGTGAACGTACAAGAAGTGTAGACGTGACATAAAAACATTTTCACTATTACATTTGCACTTTCGTCTATCATATCAATATTTTTCGTATACTACATCGATTTAATTATTTAATTAAATATTTATCAAATAATTTAGATATTATTTTGAACAATTAAAATAATCATTATTTCTATATTCTAAAAAATTTTAGATTTTATTTTATCAAAATTAAAAAATTTAATTTTTGAAATTTTTCCTAAGAATAAATATCCGAACAAAATATGGAAAATGGAAAAAAAGTGGGAAATTAAGGAAAACCTGAGCGGGCCCGTGTCGATAATGGGAATGAGAAGAAAGCCGATAAAAAAAAATATAAAAAAAAAACGAAAAGTATCTCTTTTATATGATGAAACGGCGGCGTGGAGGGCGGAGGCGTTGATGCGCACGTGTCCCTTTTTAAAGCGCGTGAGTTCGTGGTGGGTCCAATTTCTGAGTCAGCTCGGCGCGAGCCGTTTAGCTATTCGGCTGTCTATAGGAATCATTTACCCGTTATGAAAATAATTCTGATAAATGAGTACTAAATTTGGTAAATTATTTCTACAAATAAATAAATAATGATAAAATGAATCATATAAGTTACTTCCCATTTTTTTTTAAATCACTATGCAAAGCTTCAGTTGTGAGTGTACCAGCAATTTTTTTTAATTAAATAAACGAAAATAAAATGGTAAATATAGTTGTGGTATTGAAAAAAATAATATAGTTGATTTTTTAAAGCATTAATATTTTATGTTTTCTGAATCATATCCTAATTTCTTTTATTTTTCCGCAGGAAATGTTTCATATATTGTTGTCGGTGCTATTGCCCATTGGGATAAAAATATCCAATCCAATATTGTGTCTTTGCATTAAAAAACAAACAAAATAGATGGAGATTTTATGAGAAATTAATTAAATTGACGAGTCAACAATTAAAATCTATATTTAGGAAGAAAGTAAATAAGTGACTTCCAATTGGGATTGCTTTATTTTGCAAATTCAAAAGCTTCAACAGCAATTTCAGTTATATTAATTAATAAATGCAAATTATATGATTTATAAAAATTGAGATGTAAATCAGAAGCAAATATATGCAATCGATTGGGGAAATTCATAGTTGGGTCTCTGAAAATACATAAAACCTTGAAGATTTGATTTGTCAAATGGATATCTCAATATTATCATCATAGGCTTATTTTTCATAACCCATGGATCATAACTCGGTGACTCACTATACCATATAGAATAATGCACTTGTAATATCACATGTAAAGCTGAACTCAGAAAAATAAGCGTTTTAAAGTTTGTTAAAATTTTATTTAGAGGTAAATTTTAATGTAAATACTATATTTAAAATTTTGTAGATATTGCAAACTATTATATAAAGAGTGGTGTTTAAAATTTGTAGATTTTTATATTTACAATTAATAAACTTTTTATTATCTGACATGTCCAAACAAAGCTCTAGTGTAAAAAAAAAATGCCCAAAGGAGAGTCTATAAAAGAGGAGGGCTGAATCCTGAAGCATATTAGTGTTTTTAGGTTTCGTTCTTTGTTGGTCAGAACAACGTCACGATCTCTCCAAAGATCTCTCTCTCTCTCTCTCTCTCTCTCTCTCGTGCTGCCATTGTCACTCTGGTCTCAAGAATAGAATCATCTGTCTCTGTGGCTTCTGAGTAGACAAAAAAGAAAAGAAAAAGAGGGCAATAATATCATCTCTCTCTTGTTGATTCTGCTTCATGCCCATTCTTCTGTGTTAAAGAGAACGTAAGTACTGTCTCTGGTGCGTGTCTTTTTTTTATTTTTTATTTTTTGAATTTCTGGGTTTGTCCTCGTGACAGAGAAGAAGAGTCTAAGAAGAACAAGATAGCAGAAAAAAACAGAGCTTTTCGCTCGCTTTCTAGGTCTCTGTGTAGCTGTCTTACTCCTTTTCTTTTGTCCGCTTTGTTTTTGCTTTCTTTAATCCATTTTCCTCTGATTCATGGCGAATTCGAGATCTCCCAGTCCCCCAGATTCCTTTCCAATTCCGGCCAATTAAGTCTGTCCAAATTCGAGCTTTATCCATCCTCTCTCTCTCTCTCTCTCTCTGTGTCTGTTCGTGATATGCACTTGCTCTGTTTCCTCTTCCACAAACTTCAGAAATTTCTGAGAAACCAATAACGGGTTCGCTCTAAAACGGTGCGTGTTTCAGATCTAACGGCAAACATAAAGAAAACGAGGCGGAAACAATGTTGGCGTCGATGAGGCAAGGGGAGGAAGCGATAGTGCCGAGTGTGGACGACACAGAGAGTGATCAGATCAACACTAACCATGTCGGAAAAGACGAAGAGATCTCTTCCTCCGGCGGTTTCAGCTTCAGGACTTTCCTCTGGCACGGTGGCTCCGTCTGGGACGCCTGGTTTAGCTGCGCCTCTAACCAGGTACATAGAAACAACTCTTACAAACTCTGATTCATGAGATCTCTCGGTACCAAATTCGAAATTTTGAAGACGACCCATCAACCAGAAGATGATTTCTCCGAGACCCATCGATGGAAAGCTGAGAAATTTTCTGGAATTTTTGCGTACGTGTAGGTCGCGCAAGTGCTGTTGACATTGCCGTACTCGTTCAGTCAACTTGGGATGTTGTCGGGAATAGTTCTCCAGATCTTCTATGGATTGCTCGGAAGCTGGACTGCGTATCTCATCAGTGTTCTCTACGTCGAGTACCGAAGTCGTAAGGAGAAAGAGGGCAAAAGCTTCAAGAACCACGTCATTCAGGTCCCTCCCCCCACCCCCCAAAAAAAAAAGAATAATTTTTTTCCTTTTACTATCATTTTCACAAAGAGTTTATGTGATTCCTTAAAGTTCAAGATTATTGTCATATTTCATATAATATATGGAATATTTGTATAATGAATTGCAGTGGTTCGAAGTGTTAGATGGATTATTGGGTCCATATTGGAAAGCAGTGGGACTTGCCTTCAATTGTACTTTCCTCTTGTTCGGATCTGTCATACAACTCATAGCTTGTGCAAGGTCTGTCTAATATCTTTATCTTTAAACATTATTTTATATAAATTTTGTTAAAACAATATATACGAATTATTATTCAATAGCTTAGTCTAAGAATATGATGATTAATATGTATGTTAATTTGGTGCAGTAACATATACTACATAAACGACAGTTTGGACAAGCGTACATGGACGTACATATTCGGCGCGTGTTGTGCAACCACCGTATTTATACCGTCGTTCCACAACTACCGTATTTGGTCGTTCCTCGGCCTCGGCATGACCACTTACACTGCTTGGTACCTCGCCATCGCCGCCCTCATCCACGGCCAGGTACCCACCACACGTCCGTATTACACCGTATATACTTATTTTATTAGTATATGTTATCGTAGATATACTTATCTATCAGACACTTGAATTTTCATGACAAATATTATATCCAGCGAATTTTTATCTGAATAGTGACAAGCAAATAGATTTAGGATGTCCAGAAATTTTATTTCACCAAAATGAAAGAGAAACTTAATTGTTCACTGATTTTACTCTCTATTCTTATATTTTAAAAGTTGATTTTGTGGTAGATTTTGAGTTTTTAAAGGTGGTTAATGTGGAGATTTTTTTTAATAAACAAAATTGGTTTAAAATAGTTAAATATTTATTTGAGGGACAAAGAGATGATTGTACAAAAAGTTAATTATTGAACCCTAATTACATGATGAAAAATAAATGAGATCAATTTGTTTTTGATAAAGATACAAGTGTAAAATTAATATTATTTTTAATTAGCTTTATATGAATTAATTTCAAAATTATCTTACCTGAATATATATAACTTTTGATGAAGAGTTTGATTGCAATTATAGCATAAGAGTTTACCACTGTTTAATATTCTCTAAGCAAAGTGTTAATCCTTGTTTTTTAGCTGTAAAGCTATATTTTATATTTTATTAAATGGACCGTTTTTTAATAAAAATAAATAAATAAATAAAGGGTGAAGGGGTCACACACTCTGGTCCAACAAAGCTAGTGCTTTATTTTACCGGAGCCACCAACATCTTGTACACGTTTGGCGGACACGCAGTTACAGTGTAAGTTATTAACTTTTTTACTTTAACATCTTATCTTGTACACGTTTGTAATTATATCGTAAAAAACAAAATGAAATGGACGGATTTAATGACATTTTCTCGTCCGAAAATAAATTAAATTGCATCTAGCAACTTTAGATGCTAATTATTTTCATCGTATGTTTACAAAATCCAAATGTACTAGGCATCTAGGATACGGTTTTTTTTTGTTTTAAATATTCCAGTAGTTTTAAATTGAATTTAATTAAAACGGAAAAAGTCGGAAATGTTATCAAGGAATGGTAATTGCTATGAAGATATTATTAGATACTATTATCGTAATTATAACCATATCAACTGTAATAATTATCCCTATAAAAAATAAACATTTGTTTTTATCTCCCTCTCTATTTTAAAAGAAATAACAGAGGTAGTTAGCATGAAATGTCGACTATGCCCTCGTTGACTCTGTGTAATTTCTGACATGAGATGTTTAATTAATTCAATTATTGAAACGTTTTTGTTTCTTGGCAGAGAGATAATGCATGCGATGTGGAAACCCCAGAAGTTCAAGTACATATACTTGCTCGCAACGCTTTACGTATTTACACTAACGATTCCGTCAGCTGCCGCCGTTTACTGGGCGTTTGGCGACGAGCTTCTCGACCACTCCAACGCCTTCTCCCTCCTTCCTCGCACTGGATGGCGTGACGCCGCCGTTATCCTCATGCTCATCCACCAGGTGACTTGTTATATGCTTTATCTTTTTATTTTCTATGTTGTTGCCATTGTCGCAAAGGCATATTCCATATATACATGCACATACAATTGCATGATGTGAATTAATAATGTACGATTAATTGTGGCAGTTCATAACGTTCGGGTTCGCGTGCACGCCGCTGTACTTTGTGTGGGAGAAGGTGATAGGAATGCACGACACGAAGAGCATGTGCTTGAGGGCAGTGGCTCGTCTGCCGGTGGTGATTCCGATATGGTTCTTAGCCATTGTCTTCCCTTTCTTCGGTCCCATCAACTCTGCCGTTGGGGCCCTTCTCGTTAGCTTCACGGTCTATATCATCCCTGCCCTCGCCCACATTCTCACCTTCCGCTCTGCCTCCGCTCGTCGGGTAACGTATTTCCTATCTTCCTCCGTTTCCAAATTTAAGCAAAACCCTCCACACGTGTCTCTTCCATTACTCATCACCATTTGAGAAGAAGAAAAAAAACATTCGAATTTATCTTCCGGTTAATGGGTTTTGATTTGTCTCTGATAGGCTTTTTCTTTTGTCGTTATATGTAGAAAATAATACTGAGTCTCAAACCGAGTCACTTGTTCTCACATCGTCCGAGTTGGAAATTGTTGTTTGTTGTACGTTAATTTGGTTTGACTCTGCATTTGTAGTCAACGTAGGATATTATATCTATAAGCTAATTAAGAGCCATATGATTATCATATTGTTATTGTGAATACTACAATGTTGGTCATCAAGAAGCAGTACGTTTATAAAATTTACGTAATATTAACAATTACTATATGACTTCTGATATATATATACGATCGATTGATTACATACAGAATGCGGCGGAGAAGCCGCCGAGGTTCATGCCGAGTTGGACAGCGATGTACGTAATGAATGGGATAATAGTGGTGTGGGTGCTGGTCGTGGGATTTGGGTTCGGAGGATGGGCAAGCGTCACTAACTTCGTCAGGCAAATCGACACTTTCGGCCTCTTTGCAAAGTGTTACCAATGCAAACCACCGGCTCCTCCTCCCGGCTCGGCCGTACACCACCACGCCCATTGACAGTTTTGACGAAGCATGCCGAAATGCCCTAATTATGTTTACGTGAAGGGATGATGATTGCGTACTCGTCCCTTTGTATGGGATGATGATTGCGTGCTAAGGTCTTCATTCTTTTTTCTTTTTTAGGGTTTTGTAATCTCTCTCTTAGCTGATTAAGATAGTTGATAATATGGTGAGTTGATGATGGCTTGTGATGCTTTCTTTGGTAATGAAAAAAAATACAGGCTAAAATCCATTATCATTTTATCCGTTCTCTTATCTGTATTCATGGATAATTTTATGTTCAAATGTTTCATACCCAATAATATTTTATACATATGTTAATTTTAAATGCAAATGTCGTTAATGAAAAGCATAATAGTTTAATGGCAACAGAAATTCTCAATAAAATCAGTAAATGTCTAACGAATCCAACATGAAAAAAAAAAACTCAAATAGTTTCGTGTAGATTTTACTTGGAGCGTAGACATGTTGGCTCGGTGTGGAAATAATGGGCCGTGGACCAAGTCGTTCTTCCACATGGGTTGCACGTGGGCTCCCTCACTGTCACGTGCCATTCAAAATATGGCATGTTCATACATGCACATGTATATTCTCGTAATTTAGTTTGACAAAACTTATCGTATGGCATGTTCATACGCATTGGAGATTTGGAAATATCCGTCGAAATTTCAAATTTCCATGTTTGTTGATGCATCCATCAACTCGAGAAGTAAAATTTGCTAAATAAAATATGAAAAATTGTTTTTTTTACTAGTTAGATGATCAAAAAAATCCGAGAGGTCACGACGGTGACAATAGAATTCGGGATTACGTTAAACAAACTCTAAACCATAATTAAATTTACCAAATAATTCTTTAGCTATTTTATTCCGTGCATGGATACGGAAGCGTCGTAAGATGATAATTTACTTGACCTTTCTTTCACATAACTAGAAAATATAGTTGGAATAAAAATTCGGTAAACTTTCGGATCACGAAAAAATAATCTAAATTATATTTATGTATATATCGTAATAGGAAATTCAAAATTTTCATTTTTAAAATGCATGATGTGAAAAAATGAGAAAAATTATGACAAAGCATTTTGACTTTAACATATATTACCCCCATTACAGAATAATATGAACCGAATGAGCTACAAAAACTGATCTATCCATATTAGTTTAAATTTAGATATAGAACAAATTGAGATAGTTCACATATTTTGCTATTAACAAATATTATATATGTATGAAAATCTAGGTTGTTTCTTTCCCAAAAATATCAAATCCATGTCATGTTTTCTTTCTGTTCAAAGAAGAAAAATCTATGTACATTAATTACTCAATAAACTATCCAAGAATCATGGCCTCTAGCACCATTGATCCAACTTCACGGATTGTAGCCAACTAGTAATAGAAAAATGCCCAAATGATAAATATTATACAATTTTTTTAAAAAAGTATCAAGTTGTGAAAACTAAATATAAATAAAATAAAAATATTCAAAATACAAGAAGTATATTTTACTGCAATTTAAAAACATGTGTTATTTTACCAATTTAATTTTTTAAGAGCCTATCTCACGATGTCTCGGCTTGGGCTCCGCTCGGTAAGAACGATACATTCGTGTCTTGGAGAGAGAAGAATAGATAATTTATAATATTAAAGCGAAAGTGAAATAAATCATATAATATATCATAATGTTATATATTTCTCAATAAAAAGGATACAAGGGACTTTAACTTCTGCAATTAACATGGTATATAATGTCTCAGATCTAATTTGCATTCCCAATAAAAACAATAGCTTGTAAAGATGGTTATTATTCAAAGATTTGTTTATATCAAGATTATAAAATCTGTCATTATTTAGGGCAAAGTAATGATGCTTATACCCATTACTTTGCTTCCTGATTCGGTTACTTCGCATGATTTTCAGTGTAAACTTTTCGCTCCTTCACCGAGAAACTCTCTATTATTATATTATCATTTTATTTTATTTTTCTTCAAATGGAACGTATCTGTTGTTTGCAAAATTATAATACATATATATATTGAGCTTTAACCATAAACATATTATGTTTCTGGATTTTCAGAGCCTTTCTTCTTTTCTTTTAAATGTTTTCCATTTGCCCGTTTTGTAATTTTTTATAGCTCTCCAAATATTTTAAATTTATTTTGAAAGGGCAAAAGTCCAAAATTATAATGAGACCAAAACTATGATAGTTTCATATAGAATTTTATGCTATTCGATTCCGTCAAAATGCTAGTTAAATTTTCCGTTTATTTGTTTCCATTGTTTTAATCGGGACATTATCAAAAATACTCTTAAAATGCTACTTCTACTTCAAAACCTACCCTGGTCACATGTGACCAATGTGACCGAAATATAGTATGGTCACATTTTGATTTTTATCGATTATAACGTTAAATTTATGGTGATCACACTAATTCATTATATTTATACCTTGTATATCTTACTAATCATTTGATTAAAACATCATAAATTTAACGTTATGAACAATGAGATCAATATGTGACCACACTATATTTCGGTCACATTGGTCACATGGTCACAAGGGTAGGTGTTGAAGTAGAAGTAGCATTTTAAGGGTATTTTTTATATAATGCCGTTTTAATCATGTTTAGGCCCATTTGTTCTGTCCTTAAAGCCCATTGGGCTAATACCATTCCCACGACAGTCTTAGAACCAATAGGGATTCGACACGTGGCTTGAAAAGAGAGTCCTCGAAGGTGTCACCGCCTGTTCTTCTGACATCCAATGAAAACGGCACACGTGGAAGACATGTAAGAACCCTTTAAAAAAGGCCACGGCCGTCTCTTGAAGCAGGAGACTTCGAAAGAGCCAAGCGGAAGTTATCGCTGGGAGAAGAGAACGAAGCGATGTCGTCATCTTCCTTCGTCGACAACTTGGCCGACGAGTCAACTCGTCCTTCAGACGGTGTTGACGGCGGTGGCGACTACACGGCGTACGAGTCTCGCTTCCAGTCGCAGAGGTTTGACTCGTCCTTCTCCAACTACGAGGCCGATTCGGTCAAAGACTCGACCGGTGACTCATCTCAGCTCAACGAAGGTGAATTCTCATCGGCTCCGGCGCCGGAAAATCAGACTCCGCCGTCAAGAGAAACGAACAGTCCGATCTTGCCGGCGCCGTCAGAGATGGGGATAGAGGAAGGTTACGCTCTGAGGGAGTGGAGAAGGTAAAAAGCTATTTTGCTCTTCATGCATGTGTTTGTTCCCTTGCTTGCTTCGTCAAAGCTTTGAGACCTTTTTTATAGGTTTATATATGAATCGAATTCTGCAGCGATTTAGATTTATTCACTCGTGTACTTTGTGGAATTTGGATCAATCGTTACTTAATTTAGCAGTTGATTGCAACCCTAATTTAGCAAGTCTAGACAGGCATCATGGCTTAGCTGTTCATCAAGTCATTTGAAGCTGTTGGTAGTTCATATTCAATCCAACTGCTCGCAAACCATCAAAACGGGTTCGGTCTGCATCTATTTAGTTTAATAAAAAAAAAGTGTTCTTTGTTAGTGTAATTTCCATGGTATTTAACGATTATTTTTACACAAGAGGGGCACATATTGATTGAGACGAAACCATACTTCAAGGTATGAATAATCTTGAGGGAATTTTCACAAAACTACATACCCATGAACTCTAAACTTCCTGAATAAACGAGCATGAGAGCGGAACAAACAGAAAAAGGTTCATGTTCTGTTTGGAAACGAATGCAGAGATGAACCCTTGAACAACCGAAAACATAGGATAGCAGAACGAGTCGAATGATCGGAAAACTCCAAATCTTTTGCTTTTCATGAGATTTTTGTGTTTGTTTGGTCAGACTGAATGCAATCAGATTGGAAGAGAAGGAGAAGAAGGAGAAAGAGATGGTACGGCAAATAAAAGAGGAAGCCGAGCAGTACAAGGCCGAGTTCTATAAGAAGCTTAGCGTTACTATTGAGAATAACAAGGAAGCCAACCGCGAGAAAGAGAAGGTCGGTGTTTTCTTTGTGTGTGTGTGTGCAACTTTCGTGTATCTTATACGTACCCCTGATTATAATCATTATATTCAAATGCCGAGCATATCATCGGACCGTAAACCTTGAATTCTCTGATTTTATTACTGTATTAGCCCCTTTGAGACTTTCATTTTAAGGTTTTTATGCAAAAATCGGCTAACGATACCGTTTCTTGAAATCCTTTTTGATCAAGTGTGCTCTCTTATTGTCAGTTGTTTTTGGCGAACCAAGAGAAGTTTCATGCCGAGGCTGACAAAAACTACTGGAAGGCGATAGCTGAACTCGTCCCCCGAGAAGTACCAACTATAGAGAAGAGAGGGAAGAAAGACGAGAAGAAGAAACCAGGAATAACTGTTATACAAGGGCCTAAACCCGGAAAACCAACCGAGCTTTCGCGTATGCGTCAAGTGCTCGCAAAACTCAAGTATAACCCACCTCCTCACATGAAGCCACCGGCATCTCCGTCGGAGGAAGAGGCTAAGACCAACGGTTCTCTTCCTTCCAACACAGTGGTCAAAGAGTGAATGGTCCTTAAGCTTTGGCTCTGTAAGTGTCTGTACTTTTCTAAGCTTTTTTTTGGGTCATGTCCTGTTTTAGTTTTGGCCTCTCTGGTCACAGTTTCATGTGTATAGTGAATAAAAGACCAATGTGTAGTGATTATATTTTCTAGCAAAGGAACTATATTTCCCGGGTGAAAACAGGGGACTTGGTGATATGTTTTCTAAAATCTAATCTATAGCTTATAGTTTCTGGGCAATGATTTCGGATGACAGAATTTCTTTTACCTTTTGATAAGATGATACTGATGATGATCCGTTTGTCGTTGATAAGGGAACTGGAACTTTGTTGATCGTTTCCCTCCCGAGTCCCGACTACCTCATGCTTCTTCTTATGTCCTGCATAGCAAAAGGCCTTTGATGTTTCTAAAACAAACTCGCAAAAGTAACTGACTACTTAGAAATGCTGTTCTTTCGGCATCTCTGTTAAAAGCTGTTTCTAACGAGCTCTAATGGCGACTTAGAAAGAGGAAACATACCATGTGCCTCAAAGCCATATCGAGAGATGATCTCGAGAGATTCATCCCGAAGCGTGGACCATCTGATTTCCTCGCCGGGTTGTGATCATTCTGCTTTGGAGGTGGTAGTTTCCTCACGTTCACAACTCTTTCGACCATTTTGCTACCAATCAAGACTGGATTCACATCATTGCTACATTTGGACTGTCTCCTTGATCTCTCACCCAAACCAGACTTAACTGCAGAAGAGTGGGCTTTGCCTCTTGAAGCTGAGACAGATCTACCTGGCATGTCGGAAGGCTTTGAAACCATCGACTTATCCCCACGAGCTGACTTTCCCACAGAAGAGGATCGGGTAAGCGCAGAAGCAAGAGAACTGGATTTGCTTGAAGTGGTTCTACCACTCGGTGTTGAGGATCTAGGAGCTGATTTTGTTGAACTGGAGGGTCTGGATTCTGTACCATTGGGCTTTGCGGTTCGTGAAGTGGATGCCACCTGCTTCAATGGCTTAATGCTCGGTTTTGGCTCATTGGTGCTGACCGTTCGCTTATTAACAGCAGTCATTGGGTACATTCCAGTCGCTAGACTTGCCCGCCTTGACGTCTTGATGCTTCTTGACACAGACTCTTCAGGAATATTTTCAAGCTTCAGGCGAAAGATCATAGAATCAGCACAAGTCATGACATATATAATTACAGCCACATATTTGAACCAACAGCACAATATCAGAAGTGTATGAACATTTACTCACAGAGATGTCAATAAATAAGAAACATCTTATCTTAATTCCCCAACAAAGAAAAACATAGATGTACTTCGGAATCTAGCAAATGGTCGCATAGAATTAGCAAATGGTATATAAGTTCTCACCAAAGGTTTTAGAACAGCAGAGAGACAGTTAGCCTCTTTGAGTTCAACTGTTGAGTTCTTCTGTGGTCCTCTCACACATAGTGTCTCGGGAGATGCATATAACCTGAGGAGCATATGATATGAAGGTAGTCATTGCAGTGAAAGAGAAGCTCTAACAGATTGAGGAAGCATTGACGAGCTATATATATCTGATCACTGCAAATAATATACACCCGTGAATCAGATGCAAATATCAACTACACTAATCCTGCTATGGACTCTAAATTTTCCATGAAGGCATAAGTTTCTTGAAGTATAACCAAATTCTTGAAGCTCATAGATTCATTTATGTTCATATAACAATCGAAGTACCACTCATAAACTGATTTGTCGTTCTCCGAATCCAAGAATTTTTCAATTGCGGTCCTTCCCCGCTGAGCAGAGCTCACTGTTGTGGGCAAACAACTCTCTTTGATAGTTCTATCGGCGTCAATTGGTCCTGCCAAAACCGATCATCTTGATCAAAATAAGTGACATCTGGGAATCACTGCAGAATTAGCCTATGAACAAGTAATAGACACTCCTACAACTGAAGAGAGACACCGACATAAGCCACGGATAGCTATAGCCTTTACTATGAAATCAGAACTGTAGGAACGAAAAGAACGAACTCTCGCATTAGCTTAAAGCAGTGGACGATCCTGTTCTGTCTTGCTTGAAGGCGATGGTCGTCCTGTATGTGGTGGAAACAGCTAATAAACCAGCCCTAGAAGCTCTAACCACCATGACTAACAAATTCGGCAGGAAAAAAATCGTTCTGTGAAAGTAAAGTACTTATCCTGAATTCAAAATCAGCGACTAAGTCTGATCATTCAACTCGAACTACATTCAGAATATAGCGTATAAGACAAGTAGCAGGAGTTTTGACTCTCTCAACTACTCGAATTGGATCCAAAATATACCGTCTCAGACAAGCAATGGGATCTACAATTTGAAGACATCATAATCTGAAAGCAGAAGTTCTGGATTCACTGCTAAAATGCTAAATCATGCGTTTGGAAGCTCAAAATTCGGAGAAATTGAGCTGAAAATGGAAAAACAACAACTCACCGGGATCCGGAAGAGGAGAAACTCTTTGATCCTTCTTGTCGCGCCTTCGCATATCAAGGAACAGAGCGAGTTCTTCATCTCCATCTAGAGAATCAACATTCTCCATTCTATAATACGTTTTTGATACTGGCGAGCTATAAAAAACGATAAATCGAGATCAGTTCGCGAGCTCTAAAGGACTAACAATGGCAGTGGAAGAAAAATGCAGAAGAAAATACGAAAATGGCTGAAAATGCTGCGAAGAAGAGAAGGAGAGAGACCTGTTGAACTATTCAATGAAGTTTTCAACAAAGGATTCAGATTCAGCTGCGTATTCACGAGACTGCCACTTTAGTGTTTTCAGGTGCTAATCATTGCAGCTTGAAGATGATGGCATGATTGTAATTAAATGCAAACGCATGCCCCTCTTATCGCCTGCGGCAAAATTTGAATGTGCACCGTTGGATGCAGAGGAGCGGAGTACGCTGACTAATCGGACGGATATTATTGGAGCGGACAGACCTATAAAAGCAGAATAACTGTCAGGCCTCGTGTCTCGTGAGATTCAAAACGTTCGTCGGCCCATTGACTGCTCGTTTTGTTCACTTCTTGGCTTTCGAATTTCGCATTCAATAAAATTGTTATTATTTTTTGGATAATCGCATAAAAATACCCAAATTTTTACATTATTTTCAAATAAATACTCGAACTATAAAATTATCATAAAAATACCTAAACTTTTTAAAACTCCCACACAAATACCTAAACTTTTAAATTTTTTTCAAATCAAACACTCATCCGTTAACGGCGTTAAATACATCTAATGATTCACCTAAAATCTGATGACTCAACATTAAAAAATATTATTAAATTCACGCGCGCATATATATATATATAAAATATATATATGTGTGTTAGTTATAATTATTTTTATTTTAATATGTATATTAGTTGTGTATATATATATATATATATGTTGTACGTATGACTAATATATATATATATATTATTTTAATATATATTATATGTGTGTATGTTACTTATAATTATTTTATTTTAATATGTATATTATGTATGTATATAAAATTAATTATAATTATTTTTATTTTAACTAATATATATGTATTAGTTATGATATATATATATATATATATATATTTATTGTAGTTATATGTATTTGTTTTATTAATTATAAATAATTTTATTTTTAATATATATATATATATATATGTGAATTTAATAATATTTTTTAATGTTGAGTCATCAGTTTTTTGGCAGAGTCTCAGATTTTAGCTGAGTCATCAGATATGTTTAACACCGTTAATGGATAGTGTTTGATTTGGAAAAAATTTAAAAGTCTGGGTATTTATGTGAGAGTTTTGAAAAGTTCAGGTATTTATATGACAATTTTATAGTTCGGATATTTATTAGGAATAGTGTAAAAGTTCGGGTATTTTTATGCGATTACCCCTATTTTTTTACTAATTTCTCATTTTAATTTCAGAAACTTAATTTCCACAATTAAATAATTGATTGATGTAACGCGTGGATAATCACATCTATTAGAGCTATTACTTATTAGGATAATTAATTTGGTTAATAATCCGATAATCAAACTGAATAATGTATATTTGTAATCAATTAATACAAAATAAAAACTAAATATTTATTATTTTTTAAAATTGAGTTCAAACCAAATTGATTAAAATAATAAAAATAATTTTTTAAAAAATAAATATTTTATCGATAAAAATCAAATTCAAATCCGATTGGAACGAGTTTAATTCAATGTATAGTTATAATTTTTATAAAATTGAAATAATCGAATTTGAATATAATCTAATCGAACACAAATGGAAACTAAATTAGGGGTGTCAATTTGGGTCCGAGGACCGGCCCATCCTAGCCCGAAAATTAGCGGATTTCGGATCTAAATTTTTCGGTCCAAAAAAATCGGGTTTTCGGACCGAACTCAAATCGGACCGACCCGAAAGTTTGATTTTTTAAAAAAAGAAAAAAGAAAAAAAATTATTAAGGGATTTATGCATACCGGCCCGACCCGGTCCGATATATATAGGATCAGGCTTCAGACTAAACTATATAGGTCTGAAAAAAATCAGACCGGCTCCGAATCCGAACTCGAAACTTTCGGACCAAGTGCGGTCCGATTATAACACCCCTAAACTAAATGGCGAAATCGTCATTGTGTATCATTGGAGGCTGTGTTTTCTTCTTATTTACTTGAAACATGGGCTTGGGGAGTTACACACAGATCTAAGTGGACGAGAAAGATTTGTTTTTTTTTTTATAATTATTATGAAAGATAGACGTTGAGACAACGAGAGAAAATGACAAATCGTGAAAGAGAGTGGTGGGACTCTCTTTCTTCCTATGAGATTGAATTCGAGAGGCGACCCTCCTCTCCTTCACTCCAACCTCTCGTATTTTCCTCCTATTTATCTCAGCAAATTACAATCCACACAAATTGACCTTTCCCTAGATCAAAATATTACTATTATGTTAATTATAATGATTTGTGCTGTAATTAAGTTTTTTTCCTCTTAATTTTGTCGTAAAACCGGAAAAAAAAATAGTGGCCTCAAAATTACAGGAACTGAGTTCCCACGTCAGCAAAATCTTTTCGGCAGTCTACACATGAGCGCCAATCTGAGGGATTCTGCTAGTCATCGTGGTCTTATAGCATTCGCATGCAAAGTCTTATCCTCTCTGCATGCGCTCACACCATTAATTTACGTACACGTAAATTCTCAACCGTCCGATCTGCATACTTTGACCTTCTACAATCAAATCGCACCACACAGACAACTCGAATCGCGCGCCCTCACTCACTCCCCCCCTCTCCCATTTATACGCCCTTAACTTCGCCGCCTTTCCTCCCAAATCCCAAAGATCTCTCTCTGTAAACCCTAGAAATGGCAGGGACCGGAGTCGTTGCGGTGTATGGAGACGGGGGCATGACGGAGCCGACAACGGCGACGAAGAAAACTCCGTTCTCCGTGAAGGTCGGTCTCGCTCAGATGCTCCGCGGCGGCGTAATCATGGACGTTGTTACGCCCGAGCAGGCGCGCGTGGCGGAAGAGGCCGGCGCGTGCGCCGTTATGGCCCTGGAGCGCGTCCCCGCTGATATCAGAGCCCAAGGCGGCGTCGCTCGCATGAGCGATCCACAGCTCATCAAGGAAATCAAGCAGGCCGTCACCATCCCCGTCATGGCCAAGGCTCGGATCGGTCACTTCGTCGAGGCTCAGATTCTGGAGGCAATCGGTGTCGATTACGTCGACGAGAGCGAGGTTCTCACTCCCGCCGACGAAGATCATCACATCAACAAGCACAATTTCAAAATCCCCTTAAAGTGGTATTTGAGCCCTGCGGCGGATCCGCGAGGGAGCCGCCATGATCAGAACCAAGGGAGAGGCCGGGACGGGGAACGTGGTGGAGGCGGTGAGGCACATTAGACAGGTGATGGGTGAGATACGGTTGTTGAGGAACATGGACGACGTCGAGGCCTTCACGTTCGCGAAGAAGATTGCAGCGCCGTACGATCTGGTGGTGCAGACGAAGGAGCTAGGGAGGCTTCCGGTGGTGCAATTTGCCGCCGGAGGAGTGGCGACGCCGGCGGATGCGGCGATGATGATGCAGTTGGGATGCGACGGAGTGTTCGTAGGGTCGGGGATCTTCAAGAGCGGAGATCCGGCGAAGAGGGCGAGGGCGATCGTGCAGGCGGTGACTCACTACAACGACGCGGCGGTGCTGGCGGAGGTCAGTGGCGGTTTGGGGGAAGCCATGGTTGGTCTCAATTTGAACGATAAGGTCGAGAGCTCCCCCAGCCGCTCCGAGTGAGTGACCCATTCATTCACTCGGTTTCCTTTCATATAATAAAATTAAATTTATGTAAAATAAAAAAAATAGATGATAAAGAAAACAATAGCAAAAAAAAAAGGAAGAAGGAAAATTGTGATGTTCTTCTCTCTTACACACATTTGTTTGCTTATAGATTTGGTTATTAGATTCGATGTTTAGTTCCCAAAATAAGTGTTTTTCCTTAATGAAATATAATGTTGAATGTGTGTGTGTATATATATATAAACTGAATATAAAATAATTGAAAAAATAAAAATTATTTGAAAGATATATTTTTATAAATAAAAATAATAAAAAGAAATTGGAATAGAAACTCTCATATGGTCTTGACGAAAAAAAAATGGGTCTACGAGGCTTAATCAATTGAGCCTTTAGTGGGTTTGTATGTTTAGGCATTATGGCTCACCCTATAAGCTTAATTATTTAGGCCCTAATGCAATTTAGCTATATCGGCCCACTCTAAAATTAAGTCTATCATGTGTTGTTATGCATTTTGGGCCTCATCAATTCTATTTTGCGCACGTGTCGATTTGCTCTCAATCTTATCTCATGTCGACGTGGACCATAATACTTCTTTGTCGAAAGATTCAATTAACGCATGTCGACGTGGACCATATTGTGATTAGGCATCGTCATTTACTTGTAGTCTAACCAGTCAAAGACAAGTTTTGTCAAAATTACAGAAACAAGCATATATATATACACACACACATATATATGTATTAACATATTTATACGAAAACCATCCAGACATGTAATCATCATTGTGACAGAGAGTTTGGAGTGACCATTGTAATACAACATCATAGCAAAATCACAAATGGTGTGTTTTCTACAGAGATTATCCTTCTCGCCTTCTAACACATTTCAGAATCTTACAAACAGTTTACTATCCAATGGAATACACAGAGACAAGAGCTCAGCTCACAAATCAAATGAAACCGGCATCAAGATTCACCAAAGATGTAGAAAATATGAGATATCAAATCGCAAGTCCAAATCATCATACCTTCTTGTTGATGATAACACTTTCCGGACATTGGACTGACGTCGTGGTGTGACGGAGAAACCCTACAAACCCTAAACGCTTTCGCTATTCGTTTCCGAGGTTCAGCGATCCGTCCTTCATTAGCTTCAGGCTAAGGCTGTTGAATCTCCCTCTTGAGTAATGACGTGAAGCCTTTCTCCAATCTGTTCCTGTTTTCATCATCGCCGAGAATTCTTCATAGCTTATCCGTCCATCCTGAATCAACAATGAAGTAAATCCGTGTCAAAAAAATGTCTTTTTTTATCACTATGGTATTTGAGGTTCTTTAAGGGAAATGAACCATGTGATTTTATCCTGACTAAGTCATATATCCATACAGATAGTTTACCTCAACATTAAATATATGAACCTCAAATCATGGGCTTGCAAGCAATTCTCCAAGAATCGTTTGCATCTAATGTTGGAACCCATGATGGAACACCAACATCTCATGGTTAAGACAAATAGAAATGTTTGAATAAAGCCAAAAAGGGTTTTGTTTTTGTAGCTATTAGTATTCCCAACTAATTGTTTGATTAGTTGTACTAATCAGTTCAAAAGGCAAAAAATTTACTTAGACAAAATGCTTTAAGAGAGACTAAGGTCAAGTGGTTTGCCATCAAACTCTGTTTTATTCGGACAACCCAAAAAAGGGTAAAAGGGGTTTCATAAACATAGACGAAAGATTCGACACTAACCTTGTCTGTGTCGACTTCTTGGAATATATCATTGGCCACATCAACACAATCGTCTCCTCCATCTTCCTTCAGTGTCTCTCGAAGCTCGTTGGGAAGAATATAACCGTCGCCATCCTTGTCAAAGTAAGAGAATGCTTTGCGGAGATGCTCATCGTTTGCCATTCTTTGTAGGTGGAGAGATACCGCAATGAACTCCCCATAGTCCAATGTTCCTTTCCCCTTAGTATCCACCTGTTTATTATACAGGAAACCAGTGAGATGATAAAATCTAAACACCAACTTCTTAGTAATGGCCAGATATGCCTCAACACATAACAAATGGAACACAACAAATAAAGTGGTATTTGAAGGATAGATGCATGCCCAGAAGTTTGAATCTAGTAATTCTTGAGTGCAATAACTAATAACAAGCCTTTGATGTAAAGAGGGTATGAGTTTCTACCGCTTCAATAAGCATCTGAACTTCTGATTCTGCTAGCTGGGAACCAAAGTCTCGAAGCCCAGCTTTCAACTCCTCGATAGAAACAATACCGTCATTATCAGTATCCATCTTCTTGAACATTTCTTTAATGTCTTCTATTTCTTCGCCAGACAAGAACTCAGCAATAACCTAGTTCGGAGAAGCTAAATGAGATACGTTTGGGCAAAAAAAAACATTGCAAATATCCCGCTGTGAAAGAATTTTAGCATTTCTCTTACCCTCAACGCTTTTCTCTTGAATCTGTTCATCACGGAAAATTGCTTCAACCTCGACTTCACAACATCTCCGAGAGGGACATTTGGAGCTTTCTTAGCATTCACAAGCCATGAATGCTCTGAAGAGAAGGAAAAGAGATTAAGAAAGAGCATAGAGATATGAGTATCACAGAAATTTGTATTGGAGTAAGCTGAATGTCTAGATTGGTGAGGTGATTAGAGAAAGTGACGGATGCGGAAAAAGGAAAGATTTTTATGTACCAAGCACTTCTTTTGCAGTCAACCGACGCTTAGGGTCAGGCTCTAACATTTGTCTGACTAGACTCTTAGCACTCTCCGAAATGTTTGGCCATGGATCCCTCTTAAAATCAATTATCCCCCGCAGAATGGCCTGGGCAACTCCTTGTTCCGACTCTGCACTTGACAAGAAAGAATCAGAAGAAACTACAAAAAGTATCACTAGCTAAAACAAGTGCATGATCAATCACCATTCAGAGGATTTTTTTAAAAAAAAGTCACACACACAGATAGGGAGGAATATATAGAGGATGGAACAATAGAGAGGAATGTATAATCATACCGGCCCAGAAAGGGGGGACTCCACACAACAGAATATACAGGATAACCCCGGCACTCCATATATCTATCTCAGGTCCATAGCTCCGTTTTAGTACCTCAGGTGCCATGTAATACGGACTCCCAACGATTTCCGAGAATCTCTCACCTGGAAATATACAAGCTCAAAATAAATGTTACAACATTTAAGCTGACCATCAGAGACTAAGATGTTGTCTCTATGATCCATGACAACAGCAATGATAATCCTCCAACTAACATGTAGATGGAATTGACATCTAGAAACCACAGACTCGAACAAAATTGGGAAATTCCCCTCCATCCTAACCCAGTAGAAAACAGTGCAGAAACTGGAAATACCAACTCCTTGAACATCCTAAAGTCCAATTACATTTCCTCTACTTCTGGGAATCGAGCTATAGATGTAATTAGAGCATTGAATCTAGTGGAAACTCGTCCAAGATCACTTGGGTACAGACAAAACATTAGTTTAAGTCCAAGTCTTCTAACCTTGGACTAAAAATGGACCATTGCATTGACTCAGGATTCTACTTTTCTTGGTGAGACCACTATGACTCCAAATCCAATTCAAGCTGACGTAAGAATCCACAGCACCAAGTACGCATATCCAGCAATTGACGAATCTTAAAGCTTTTGAACAACAAAAAATCACCTGGCTTGAAGAATATCGATAAGCCGAAATCGATGGCTTTAAGCGGCGAGTTCTCCTTCTTGTTGGCGAACAAGAAATTCTCCGGCTTCAAATCTCTGTGAATGACGCCATGTTTGTGGCAAAGCTGCACGACCTCAACGATCGTCCTAGTCACGGCCGCAGCCGCACGTTCCGTGTAATGCCCCCTCGCCACTATCCGATCGAAGAGCTCACCTCCTTCGCAGAGCTCCATCACCAAATGCACCGCATTTTCGTCCTCACAAGCTTCCTTCAGAGTGACAATGCTCGAGCTCTTCGGCAGATGCTTCATTATCGCGACCTCCCTCCTCACGTCCTCTATATCCACGGCGGTTCTCAGCTTCCGCTTCGAGATCGACTTGCAGGCAAGCAGCTCGCGCGTCGAGCGCTCGATGCAGAGGTAGGTGACGCCGAACTCGCCGCGACCCAGCTCTCGGTCCACCAAGTACCGTTCCTCGATGTTCTCCTTGGGGACATCGGTGAGAACCCGAATCGGCGCCGACTTTTTACCGCCTCCGGCATCTTTCCGACCATGATCATGACCGGAAAAGTTCGATTTGACGTCCTCTCTAGCGACCGCCGCCGGAGATCTGCAGCAGTTTCCCATCTCTGGCAGCTCCGCCGCTTATCGGCCACGAACAGTTACAAAAACACAGACAACGGATCTCTCAGCAAAACCCTAACTCAAATTCGGTAAAGCTAGGGTTTCACATTCTGACATCGGAATCCAAGCAGTGAATCTAGGAAGCTAGAGAGGAAGGGAGAGAGGGAGAGATTAAATCGAAGAATTGTACGGTGAAGAGGAGCAGCTTGAGAACAAAGCTCACTGCTTTTGATATTTCCTATATAATTTGGTCTCTCCATTTCTTTTTCTTTTGAAAATTGTCCAAGAATACCTTGATAAGATTATATTTTTGTAATATAATTTTATTACTTGGAATTTAAATCTAATAATTGAACTATGCTTTGTTTTATTGAAAATATACGTTACCGGATTTTATAATTTATAAAACACCTACATTTTAATCGTTTTGTGAATGAAATTAGTAAATTTTTTTTTCTGTTGTTAAATGTGAAATGCGTATAATTTATAGCTAATGCGTCGAAACATGTAAATAAAAATAAATTCAATCGGTATCCATAAACAAATAATTTATCTAAATTTGGATATATCAATAAATCTTTCTAATATTAAACGAGAGAGACATTGATTCTCGTTTTTAAAAGAAGAGATCGGCTTAATTATTTTAACAACCGATATAATTTTTAAATAAATAAATGAATCTTTTTTATATGGAAGAATGTAGTTCAGTGGTATCGATAATGAATCGCATTTTATTTTATTATTTTGTGTGATGATTAGTACCAAAAAAAATATCTCAGGATGTACAAAGAGATAAATATACATGAATTAATTATGCTTGAAATTTAGGTTGTAGTTTATTATATGGTGTCGGGCTCTCGTAAGTAGGGGGCCTTTGTCCAATGCCTTGGCCTATCATTGTGCACCTACTTCGATACATACATTATATACATATATATTTGCACGAACATAAAAATAGCATTTTTGGTAAAATTAATTTTAGCAAGTTTTAAATATTTGTATACTTCTGATAAAAATAAATAAATAAATGTATCCCGTCCTAATAATATTAATATGTTGTTTAAAATTTGCTAAAATTGGAGGTTTTGAGTAAAAAAATGCTGAGTCATCACACAATTGGATTTTAGTTTCGAACACAATAATTGCATTTTAAGTTATAAAAACTGAGAAAGAGTTTGGTGGTCAAAGATCGTAAAAGGCAAGCATTGATTAAAACACACTGTATCATAAAAAAAAACATGGCTTTGGGGTTGAAACATTTCGAAAGAGGTTCGGGTTATTACATAACATATTTTATTTATATATATATATATATATATATATATTTCCTCCTGCGTTAGGGTTTTTTTTTTGTCGGGAAGCATGGTTACGTGAAAGAGAAAAGCTCGGCCTGGTCCACACATGCACCAACAAAGCGACAAAATGTTTCTATGCTTTTATATTTATATAAATTTCATTTTTTTTCCAATTTTAATTTTGCCCCCCTACTACTATTTCATCCATTATTAAAGAATCTTGATTTTAATTTCGATGTATATAACATGTTGGATTTGGAGCCGAGTGGTTGGATTCTTGCGTATTAATGATTAGTGTTGTGCGTCGTTTCTTTACAAATGATGACAGGAGACGCAGACGCCTCTAAACCATATAAATACATCTCATTTATAAAAAAAAATCCGCATTTAGATGTGGTAAGAAAACCCATATATTTTATAACAATGTTTAAAAAAAATCTTGTAATGAAGTTAATGTTTTAAAAAATATTTTCTTTAAACAAGTCTCTGCTATATTTATTTTCTTTTTATATATATATCAACATAACCTTAGTTGCGAATACAAATAACTTTACTAACACTAAACCAATGTATTACCCAAAAAAAAAAACTAATAAAATAATTTAGTGGGCTTCACTATAAAAGTCCTATAAGTAAATATGGGCCTATACGAGCCCATTTATATTTCTTTGTCCAAAAGTCAGAGCCCTTTGCATTTTCCTAAACATGACATCCGGAACCTTTTTTTAAACGCGGTTAGATTTAATTACATCAAATGGAAAAAAAAACTTGCTGTCTGCAACGTTTACATACATACATACATACATACATACATACATACATACATACATACATATATATAAGATTACTCCATTTGGTTAAGTATGTTTAAACGATTTCGAGACTAATTATAAGTATTTTAAGAAGAAAGAATAAAGTCGGTGAAGTTTGAACGCCCTTTTGCTTGCGCAGGTGGAACTCCGAAACCTTTGACCACGTGTTGAGCGTTTATTGGTCAGATTATCAATAATTATGATTAGTGGATATATATATATATATATATATATATTGCTGATTATGTGGCATCTCTTCTAATGCTGCGTGATAGGTGTGAACCGCATCCCAAACGCGTCCGACGGAAGTTTTTTTTTTTTATAAATTAAAAAACGGTCCGAGATTTGTCTGCATGATGGCCACGTGGCCAGAAATCTTGTAGGTCCCACTGCGTGGGCATGTGGATTTGACCGCGTCGATGGGCCCACACCAAACAATTGGACCGTCCACAATCTTAAAGGAAAACCATCGGAAGGTCCATCCACACCATTAATATAAAAGGTTTTCTTTATATTTACAAAATGCGATAGTAATCTGAAATATATTCTAGAAAATCAAATTATATATATATATATATATATATATATATATATATTAAGAGCCTTTGTCATCATCTTTTTTTTTTTTTTTAAGTCTTTGTACATTTCACTGTACGGGTTTCTTATCAATCACGTCTAAAGATACATATTATTCTATAGGTTAATTGGCAATTACATACACATATATATCCATCATAGTGGTCTTGATCGTTCTTAGTTTTATTTTATTATTCAAACCTTAAGCACGTACAGCATTAGTTTGATATATATATATTACTAATCAAAAGTTTCAACCCATTCACAAAAAAAAAAAAAAAAAAAATTCAACCCATGCAAGGATTTGGGTCGTTCTGCATATAGATAATTTTAGTAATGAGAAAAGTATTTAAATTTAAGAAGAAGAAAAAAAGGTGGAAAAAAAGAAAGAGAGAGCTTGGAACAGAAGTTAAGGTATGAGTGGTCCTAGAGAATCGAGACCCCACACACTGTTGCAAAATACACAAGGGGGAACCTTCTCGCAAGCGTGACGACACGTCGACGCAATAAATTTATCCGTCCAATAAATTTAATTGGAAAAAATAAATTAACCTAAGGCTTTTAGCATATACTATATAATTATAACAAATTTAAACCATTATAGGCAAATAAATATAAACAAATTTCGATAGCATTTTTTATGTGCATCGTCGTCGTCATCATAATTGTAGATTATGTTTTCATGTTGACGCAAATGGGAATTTTATATATCTTATCGACGAAGGTAAGCTTTTTCTTCTTTAGAATAAAAAGATGTACAGTTCATGTTTAATATATATATATATATATATGTGTATAAATAATAGTGTTTGCGAATGAATTCTCACTAGTACATACAAACATACACGATACATGCATTCATAATGTATCTTAATCACATATCAACAATCAATTCAATTAGAAATTAGAAAATAATTTATACCGTGATAATATATTCCAAACAACGAAAGAAATAATATATTCGGATATTACCAATAATATATTTTCATATTAAAAAAAAAGATGGAGAGAGAGAGAGAGAGACGTTAACGCGTAGACAGATGGAGACAGGAGGAGGAGAGAGTAGAGAAGAAGAAAAGAATTAGTGTGCCGAAGAAAATCCGAGTTCCCTTTCTTGACGATTCACATCCTTTTTCTCATCATTATTATTATTATTTTCTTCTTCTTTGTAAATTGTATCCACTTCGAGAAAACCATCGAAGAGCCTAAGCTTTTGATTCTGATCCTTCAGATCGTGAACGTGATCGCCTTCAGATCGTGATTTTCCGCGTTCTCCACGTTGAATCTCATGGACAGTCACCATCACCACCTCCACCACCTCCAGTACCTCCACCACCATCAGACGCAGACGCAGAGTATGGCGGTGGAGGCGACGGCAGGAGGAGGAGGGGATAGGTTTCCGCAGTGGAGCGTGGAGGAGACGAAGGAGATGATAGGGATAAGGGCAGAGCTTGATCAGACGTTCATGGAAACTAAGAGGAACAAACTTTTGTGGGAAGTTGTCTCCAACAAGATGAGGGATAAGGGTTTTCTTCGCAGCCCTGAACAGTGCAAGTGCAAGTGGAAGAACCTCTTCACTCGCTTCAAGGTTTCTTCTTCTATATTCTATCTTTCTTTCTTTTTTTGCATATGCACAACGATATATATATTAATCTGAAATGGGTTTTTCTACTTGAGATAGCAAAGGAATTGTATAGTTTATAATTTGATGATCTCTTATACCTAGATTTAGGTTTTTATATTTGATGATCCACTCTTTACACTTGGCGAGGTCGTGCATGGAACCCTTTTTCGTTATCGGCTTGATGATGATATTTATAAGTTATATAGCTTTCTAAATATATATATATATATATATATATATATATATGGCTGTATTATATATGTTATCTGGGTTCGTGTTATGGCTATCAACTAGGGATGTGAGACGATGGAGCCGGAGATGGCGAGGCAGCAATTCCCGGTCT